TCTTAATTTCGCCTTAATCTGTAATATTTTATTTAATTTACAAATTAAATTATGGCTGTACCTGATTTTCAGATATTTAAAGATATTTTTTGTAAATACAATCTCTGCTATTTAAAAGATGTTCGCATATGGCGGAACTGTAGGTGTTCAGGACGAGTCCATTCAAAAAAGAATATATATATATATATATATATATATATATATATATATATATATATATATATATTATATTTGTTCCCCTATTCCTTATTGTACATTTTTCTGTATTAATTTTGAATCTTCCGTTGAAGCCTGAAGAGCAGGAGCGAAACCGGTTTCTTCCCCCCCCCGTTGTTGTGTTTTTTTTTTTGTTTTTTTTTAATTGTTTAATATGTCTTGTAATATTAAATTTTATACTTTTATTTCGATCATTAAATTTTGTACCTACAAAAATATCTTTATATATATATATATATATATATATATATATATATATATATATATATATATATCAGTTATCCGATATCTCTACAATACCGTGCAGTCGACAAAATCAAATGCGCGAATATAATATGGCGACAATTTGCCTATTGCGCCGTGCGTCGCTTCTAGCGTCTTATATGCACGTGTTTATCGTTTCTTGGAAATCATCCATGTAAACAATCACAGACTATCATCACTGTCTTGTCCGTATATTGTTAATATATTGTACTGTATCTTTGATAATGGCTTATGTAAGCCGAAAGCTTAGATTGGATTAAAAAATATGGAACAATATTGTGATTTTCTTTCTTCGTCTAATGATAATGTTATTAAGTTTAGCAGACGTTATGAAAAGAATTTACACGAAATAAATAGACAATACTTATCTATATTATTTAATGAAACATGTATGAATATATATATATATATATATATATATATATATATATATATATCACTGAGTACAGGTGCTAATAAAATAGTGTTCAATGTAGAATAACAGAGCTATAGTTTATATATTAATAAATAATATACATTTTTCTTCGTTGTCAGCACAACTCTGAATTTCATTCACAACAGCTACCGAGTTAAAATGTTTTAACTTAGCACCTGAAGACTGCGCTGTATATGAACCTCTGTTGTGCTAACGGTGAGGAAAAATATTGGAGATTGCTGGACAGTCACATAAACTGCCACCCTCTGAATGATCTCAGAAAACAGAACAGCCTCTGCGACTCCCTCCCTCTGAATGATCTCAGATAACGGAACAGCGACTCATTCCCTCCGAATGGTTTCAGAAAATTTAAAAGTAATTTCTTTCTTTTTTTACTACATTACTTACTTTATAATTTATAGTACTCGATTTTTATCGCAAGTTATTTTAATCTGCAATTTAATTTCAAGTGTGTGCATTAGAGATTCAG